CTTGACCACACACCTCCTGATCTGACCACTCCCCCATCTGACATCACCCCTCCCAATATGGCCACGCCCCTTCCAGCCTGACCACTCCCCCATCTGACATCACCCCTACCAATATGGTCACGCCCCTTCCAGTCTGACCACTCCCCCATCTGACATCACCCCTACCAATATGGTCACGCCCCTTCCAGCCTGACCACTCCCTCCTGTCTTGCAGCATACGACCCCCAGCAGATATTTAAGTGCAAGGGCACCTTTGTGGGGCACCAGGGCCCTGTGTGGTGCCTCTGTGTCTACTCCACCGGCGACCTGCTCTTCAGCGGCTCCTCGGACAAAACCATCAAGGTATGTCAGGCTCCTTTCGCACCCCCCCCATCCCGTGTTCCTCCCCCGTCTTCCTATCTCCTTACCTTCTGTGTCGCCCCTCCCTTCCTGAGGTCTGGGACACCTGTACGACATACAAGTGCCAGAAGACTCTGGAAGGCCATGACGGCATCGTACTGGCGCTGTGCATTCAGGGGTGAGGTCCCGCCCGGAGATGCAGCCCTCACTTAGCAGAGACCCTGGCTTTCTCCATGTTTCGTTGCTTAGCAACTCCACCCCCCCCCCCCTTTTTTTCTTTTTTCTTTTCAGGAACAAGCTGTACAGCGGATCGGCCGATTGCACAATCATTGTAAGTGATCTTTTGAGCCAGTGGGGTTTTTTTTTTTGTGGGCAGTGACTTGGCGATCCCCAGTTTCGTCCAAACGTCGCCCCCTGGTGACCGGCTGTGGCCGCTGTCCTTCCCGCAGGTGTGGGACATCCAGACGCTGCAGAAGGTGAACACGATCCGTGCTCACGACAACCCCGTGTGCACGCTGGTGTCCTCGCACAACATGCTCTTCAGCGGCTCCCTCAAAGCCATCAAGGTGAGGGGCAGCCTGGCCTGCTCACCAGTCATGTGACTGTGTCATTGTGAAAGGCGCTATATCAAAATAACCCGAGTTTAATTATCTGCTTATAGTGCTGTTTGCTGTGTCAGAAGTTAGGAACCCGATGCACTCAAATGCTTATGGAGTTATATTCCCCCTCATTGCTGTCATTGAATAAAAATGCAATTTATAGTTTACAGAATTCTAAATGAAGGTGTTTTACTGCTGATAAGTCACTTGCAAGACCAGCTTTCTGCTTTGGCCCTTTGTCCTTCTGGCAGGCCTGCTGGATTATTTGAAATCTGAGGCATATTAATGCTCTGTAGTGCTGGCGTTTCCTGCCTGCTTGTGAGGGGGATTACGATGACGCAGTGCTTCCTGTCTCATGCACATCTTGTAACAGCTGTAGCAGCAGCTCTTGAGTTGCCTTCAGTATTGACCAACCACTTCAGGGACTTTCCTCTCATATTTTTCTCCTTAACGGCATGGGGGGGGGAGGGTTTAGCCTGTCGTCATTTCAGTAAAGAGCAGGCTGCGTGACTGGAGAACAATTCCCATTTTCGAGACCACTGTGATGGCATTGTCGCTGCAGGTGTGGGACATCATGGGCACGGAGCTCAAGCTGAAGAAGGAACTGACAGGGCTCAACCACTGGGTCCGGGCGCTGGTTGCCTCTCAGAACCACCTGTACAGCGGCTCCTACCAGACCATCAAGGTTAGACCCCGCCCCTTCATTGCCACTACCACACAGGGAGTCCGGCTTAACAGGAACCGGCTGGCCTTAGGGTGATGAGAATGTCGTCATGTAATGAGGCCGCTCTGATCGCTCCCTCCGTCATACTCAGAGGTGGTTGATGTGAGGTCCCAGGCTCATGGTGAAATAGGCTTGTGTGAAGGCAGAAGCTCCTTTCTTTCTCAAGTGGCACTCCTAGATGAGCCCGCGTGAGCTGAGAAACTCCCCTTGCCGTTCCCAGTCTAATTGGGTCCCTCGGGATGTGAGATGGGAACCAGGCGCTGTTGGAGAAGCAGTCAGTTTCACAGGTTTGCATCATCCTACTAGTGGAATACCCCAACCCCTCCCACCACATACTGGCCATACTGAGCGCCAGATGACATCAACACCGGCGTTGCCATAGAGATGGACTTGATGTTCTCCAGCTGCTGAGTTGCACAGTTTTCACAGTTGATAAGACCTGATGGTCCGGTGTCCCCCCCACCCCCGAGTTGGGTCTCCGCTGTGTTTCACACAAACCCCCTGTGCTGCGTAACTCCGTCACGGTGTGTGGTCTTCCTCACATGAGCAGATCTCCTGCCAGGTTTGACGATTCTTTCCAGAGCCCGGCAGATACGACATGTCTGAGCCTTCCTTTGATGTGCTGTAGTATCAGGTCCAGCAGATTAAACCTTGTTCCCTGAACCCCCCCCCAGATCTGGGACATCCGCTCGCTGGAGTGCGTCCATGTGCTGCAGACATCCGGGGGCAGCGTTTACTCCATTGCAGTCACCAACCACCACATCGTCTGCGGCACCTATGAGAACCTCATCCACGTGAGAGCCCCATCGGTCTCCTTGTGCCGTTAGCGGCTATGCTAACGCCCCTATGCTAACGCCCCTATGCTAACGCCCCTATGCTAACGCCCCTATGCTAACGCCCCTATGCTAACGCCCCTATGCTAACGCCCCTATGCTAACGCCCCTATGCTAACGCCCCTATGCTAACGCCCCTATGCTAACGCCCCTATGCTAACGCCCATGTATCTCCTCTCCAGGTGTGGGACATTGAGTCCAAGGAGCAGGTGCGCACCCTTACGGGCCACGTCGGCACAGTGTACGCCCTGGCGGTCATCTCCACCCCCGACCAGACCAAAGTGTTCAGTGCCTCTTACGACCGCTCCCTCCGGGTAAGCACACCCCCTTCCTTGGCCTTCCCGGCTGCCCGTTTACAGTGCGGCTGAGCCAGTGGCGGCAGATGTTCACTGCTGCCTCTTATCACCGCAGGTATGGAGCATGGACAACATGATCTGCACCCAGACCCTGCTGCGGCATCAAGGCAGCGTCACAGCCCTGGCAGTCTCTAGGGGGCGCCTCTTCTCCGGAGCAGTGGACAGCACGGTAAAGGTGTGTCCTCATTCCTTCGTGTCTTTCTCTGTATCGTTCTGGCTTCTGGTGGACCGGCACGGGCTGATAAGTGTTTTATGGCTGCGCTGACCTTCGTATTGTCACAGAGCTTCCTGACAGGAAACGTGCTCCGGACTGGCTGTAACATGACCAAGCAAGCCTTTTCTCGGGCTGCCATATGACCGTGCCCCTCACCGCTCTCTCTCTCTCTCTCTCTCTCTCTCTACCCCAGGTGTGGACCTGCTGAGGGATCAGTCTGTACCTTTCAAACGTCCACGGACAAACGTTTTTTCTGGGACTGCCTTTTACGGTTATCGTGATTATTAATCGACAAAGCCAAGTTGATGTTTTTTTTTAAGGTCATAACTATGTACTTGGTTGATTTTAAATCCTCGGCCTATAGCCACGGCCGGGCTTTTGTTTATCCGGAAACGGTCAGGGCCGTCGGATCCCAAAGGGCCCTGGCATCAGTACCTCCTGAGTGACGGGCTGCCCTTCAGACCCGCAAAGAACGTCAGCACCGGGCCCAGCTCCCATCCGCGGGTCGCGCTCACACGCTGGCCACAGGGGGCAGCGCAACTGAGGTGTCTGCCTTACCAGATAACGCTTACGAATGGCGCTGGCCTTGCCCACCCCCCAAGCTTTTCCTGGTGACGCACCCCTTCCTGAATGGACGACGCTGCCCAAGCCAAACTCGGTCCAGCCCCACCTCCCCCTCCTACCTCCCCCCAACTGGCCACAGAGAAGGAGGATGAAGAACAACAGCTTTATCGTATTTTCTGTCAGGTTTAAATGAGGGAAAGAAGAATCATCTGCTTGTAAACATGTGAACATGTATTAACACTCAGATCTTAAGTGAAACATCTGGAGGGTTTTTTTTATGTCATCTGCGCAGATCTTGCATCTGGCAGTAAACGAGGCTCTTTGGGGGTGGGGGGTTCAGCTGTTGCCTGTACTGAAGCGAGGCCTCTGAGTGAGAGACTTGATGGCAGAAGTGTGTAGTGCTACCAGAAGGATTTCAGCTGTCTGTCGTTACTTCTTTGTGCATTTACTGCGCAAAGGAACTGGTTTTTCGTTACTATTATTTTTTTTTAATGAAATTTGTATTTTTTTGCACCTGTTGGTCAGAGGCTCCCATTTCTGAAGTGTTCCTGAGGCGAGGGCGATGTGGCCTGCCCCGGCTTCCGGAATGGTCCGGCGGTCAATCGGCCACTTTAACCCAATCCTGGAAAACCAGTTTTAAATATATACGGTGCTGCTGTTCATTTTAGTTCTCGTTTACTCCTTAAAGAGACGTGTTCAGTAACACGTGCAGTATTCCCGCAGCCCCGGCATGCTCTCTGATCAGTGTTTTAACGGTTCGCTTCTGGCTGACGGGGCAAAGGTGCGACAGCTGCAGAAGTGTCCGGAAGTCCAGGGCCGTGCGGCGTCCTGACAGTTCCTGTTTGTGCTGCCGGGCCGGGCTGCGCTCTCAGAGCAGCTCTTATCCTTGAGAGATACACTACTCTGCAGTGCCAATGAAAGGATTTATTTTTACTTTTGCGCTTTTTACTGTGGAGGTCACCCGGTGTCAGGTACGATTTCTGTTTCTGTGGGGGGGTCAGTTTGGGGGGGGCCGCTGTGATTGTCCTGTGACATTTATGTACATTCACTTGTATACTTTGTTTATCATGACTTTACCATTAAAGCTGTATACACACGCCCCCTCCCTTTATTTCACGGTGGGGATGTTTAATATTGGTGTCAGATGTTTGAAACCCCATGTTATATAAAGTGCCGTCTTTCCTTGTGCCTGTTTTTTTTTCCTCCTCTTTTTCAGTTTTATAGCATCATTCAAGGTTTTTATAAACTATAACAGTGCATTCCCTGGACTACCCCCTCCCCCCAATCCCTACTCCTCCTACACCCCTCAGTGTCTTTAACCTCTAGCCCCACTGCACACTCTCCCCACCTATACAAAAATCTTTATTAAAAGCCCAACTCTGAGTGACCTGTCTCAATGTAATCAGGTGCACAAGATCTACGTCTGAGCTTGCGCTTCTCTCCGCTATCGATACGTGACGCTGCTTCAATTTTGGTGAGATTTGTGTCAAAATTTGTTCCGCCCCAGATCATCATCTGTAGAGTGTAGGAGACGCTATACAGTTTGAAGACGATCCATCAAATACTTTTAGAGTTATCAATCTAATAAGATGTGTTAGCAGCAGTTGTGGACTGGATCCAACACCATATATATTCCCTTGCTGGGAGTATAGTGGTTCTTAACATTCATGTAGTACATTTTGTATAAATGTTAAAGGAACAAAACTGGGAGATTATTCAATGATCATTGAGAACACTAAATTGAAGTATTTTTTTATAACTTAAAATGGTTTTGAGCAGCTGGCGTGCGTCGTTTTCTTCCTCTGAAGCTGCTGTATGTATTCTGTCTCTGTAAGGACGGCCCTGTCCTTCAGGAGAAACCCCGCGGGAGGCAGAAGTGATTACAGCCCTCCGATGTTTGTATATAACATTTATTTAGGACAGATGGCTGCGGCTCAGAGTCAGCAACGCTCTCGTCGCCAGTCACAGCAAGTATGATACAAGTCAGAGTCAACATCAACTCAACACGATACACAGCCTGCGCGCCTGCACACCGCAATGTGCAGCAGAGAAAAATACAACTTTTATCAGCCTTTTTTTTTTTTTTTTGCACACATGACAGTTCCTCGCCCTGTTAAATATTTCAGTTTCTTTAAAATAACAAAGACTTGTCTTTTTTAAGCATTCTGGGAAATCAATTGTGAGCACAATGCAATTAACGTAAAGAAAAAATAAAGGAAAAACGATATGTAAAAATATAACATTATAACGATCTGACAAGGTTTTACATCACCAAGGAAACAGCCAACGATACACACGTGGGATCTAAGCACGAAACCACAGCTGGGGCACATGATTGCTTGTTACGCGACTCTGCGATCCCCGCGGATCCCCGTATCGGCCGGAGGAGCGATCCGCACCGGAAAAGGCGAGACTGATGTCGTTTGTCGCCATTCATGGGCATGCGGGCAGTTAAAAGATCAAGCTCGTCCAAACACAACCACGACGAAGCAGATGAGGTAACGCAAAGTGTCCGAAAAATCTGAATTTTATGGAAATACTGAAAAGACGATGCTGAAATTAGCAAGGAAGAAGAATATGAAAAAAAAATATTTAGCAATACTTTTATTTTTTGAACATATGGAATATAAAAATGCAATTTTTATAATATGCTCTGCAATCTAAATAAATTAATATCTTCTGCATATTACTGTTAAATACTTTATATATAATAAATTAGTCATATCAAATATTTTTTAGAAAAAAAAGTACAATTTTCCAAGTCTGTATTATGAAGCTTTACTGAGATTTCAAAATGAGATATGCATGTAATAAAATGCTATATGAAGTATGTCACATTATTTAGAATTTTGAATTGATTATTATCTTCCGCTGGTCTGTGATGGGAACCCGGTGCCATAATTGTTACCATGTGACCAGGGGAACAGCCAGACACCTTTGGATACAGTGACACACTGGTAAAAATGGTGACAATCATATTCATGGGTGACAGTGAAGATAGCAAATGTCACTATCGGACCTACGACAACGACATTGACTGGGGAGAGCAGCTGAAAGTTGTCCAGCACTTTTGGAAAGTGAGCAGTAGAGGTACTTACTGATAATTACTGATGGTCAAAAGTTCCAAAGTTGTGCCGAACAGCTAAATTTCTAAATGCTACAACAAGAAGGGAAGGGTTTTGTCAATCCCTGACTTCTAAAAATAACCTGCAGGAATACATACTTCTAAGGGGTCTGCAACCTTGAACGAATAGAATGCATAGAACAGCAGCACAGCTTAATGGTCGGCTACCCATCCAGGGCCATCAGCATCCTGCAACGAAGAACAGTGATCAGAGAGCAGAAAGAGCGGTCAGGCACTGCTCTTTGCATTCTATGGAGCTCTAGATTATCATTAGGAGTTCAGCAGAAGCAGCAGGTGGTCGAATGTGTCCATGAAACATCTCAGTGAAACAAGCTGATGTGCTGAAGAGCTGCTCGGCAACCAGGAGCAGAAAGGATCAGAAGCTTAAGGTGAAACCGTTCGTTTTGTTCGTAAACTGACTTTTTTGCATGCATTTGGTCAAGGCGCGCTTCTGGTTTTGTGGAGGACGACGGTTTAACGTGAAACAACGTAAAACCGTATGAACGCTTTTTTAGTTGTGCCTTTGAGATTCTCCAGATAACAGACACTTCTCTGAAGAACCTTGATATGTTCAATGTTCAGATAAATGTGCATTTTGCTCCTCACAATGTAAAAGCATTTCTGAAGCATGCCTTCATAAAGCATCATCTCACCATGTCTCACAAGGTTCTCCGATTCTGTATAACCCCAGGCTGACTGGAGATTTGCGAAAACATCAGTACATGGTTTTTAAGTTGCCCGAAGGCTAAATAATCGTGGGTACACACTCGCAGACAGTCACACGCAGTCGATCCATAACCATAATTTTTATTGTGCTCACCTGGGTTTCCACTGAAGATCACAAAAGCGTTTGTTTTCAGTTGTATGATGAACTTTAGCTCATTATGCGAATGTAAAATCAATGTTAATGCTGACGGTTGAAGGGCTACCAGGTTGAAAGGTTGCCCTATTCTGGGGAAGTGATGTAAAAGATGGGTGGATGGATTTATGAGTTATTCATATGACTCAGGACAAAAGCAACAGTTTTACACCACGTGAAGTTAAAATCATTCAGTGGAATGCCCCAACTGATATATTTTGTATCACTGCTCAAACACTATCCGAAAAACCCACAGTTTCACAATCCTGTGCATTGTTTTGTATGATTTAGCACAAAACACGACACTCTCACAAAAATGGCGCTTAGTTTAAACCATATTATACACACACGCACACAAACAAACAAACACACAAACACAATACCTATAGAGGTGTTCAGAGAAAGTCAGTTCAAGCACAGTCGGTTTTAGCCATCCAGTCTCTCAGTTCTCTCAGGAACAGGAAAACGTTGGAATGAAGTGTTTGTTTTGTGCCGTTTCGGAAGCCGAAAAATGAAAAGAACGACAGAAAAAAAACCAATCATGTCTGCTGCCCAAGTTGGCAGTGTTGACTTCAAAGCAGAAACCTTCCAACCAAGGGAAAGTTCCAGAATCTTCCTCAGAAAGCCATGTCTTGTCACATCTTGGGGGCGAAGGGTAAGGTCGTTCTTGTGCTTCTCTTAGGCTGCTGTGATCACCCAGTCATCCACGGGGTCTGTCACATGGGCAACACACACATCTCACGCAGCACTGCAGCCAGACCTGGTCAGTGGCGGCAGGGAGAGAAAACCTGTGCTTCTGGGATGTTCTCGTCACCCAGGCAGTAGGGACAGAAATGCAAAGGGACTGATTTCTGACTGCGGGGGGGGGGCAGGTGATGAATGCTGATTGGGGAGGTGTTCCTATCTTTCTCACTAACCAAGGGTTTGCCACACACACTAAAATGACTGGAGAGTTTGAACCCATGACAGAAAAAGATCACACCTTATTGTCCCACACAAGCCAGCTCAGTCACGGTAAAATACCACTTTTCCATCCACAGAACTGAAACGTTTATGAACATATGATTCAAAGCTACACTTGTATCGTTTGGCAAAATTCAAATAAAAATAATCATATATATTTATATATATGTATATATATATACGTATGGGAAAAATACATTAGTCAGGAAGATGGGATATACGCTCTGACTAATGTATGATTCTCACTATGGATTTTTTTTTTTTTAAATAAATCTTTTCATGCTTACAATTTACACATACAACAGCATTATCATTTTCTTCAGTATTATTAATATTATTTTACAATAAGTTGAATATTCAAAAGATTCCGGAAAAAAAAACCTACGGTTGCTTTACTGCTGCGAAACTCACTTTCAGAGCGTTTGACGCTGTGCTATGTCACCCATGCCTCGAACCCAGAATTTTCTTCAGCCCAATCCTGAGGTAATTCATCTCAGCTTTAGAGATTCTCGTCAGTTGTGCAAAAACCAAAACATGGGGCGAGGCGAGTGGGGGAGAGTAATGCTATTATGAAAAAGGAAGGCAGATGGTGCAGAAAAAGTAAGACCTTGCAGGGGGGGGGGGGGGGGAGTACTTAGGCAGGCACGGCACGTGCAGCTGGCTGTTGTGCCTCGGCGCCCCCGCTGGGCCTGGAGGATATACTGCGGGTTCCTCACTCCAGCATGGCGTCCAGCTGGTCGGCCAGGTCATCGAACATGCTGCCGATGTCATCCAGGATGCTCACTGTGCTCTTGTCCTCGGCCACTATGCTGTGGATGGCAGACAGAAGGACACAAGGGGTTGTGATGGTTCGCGGACTTCACTCGGATTCTACCTTTGTTATTGATTTTCACAGTAAGGCTCTGAACTTTTAGTCATCCAGCTTCTCCAACAGGAGTCACAATCTGACAGTTTCCTGGAGCAACTGGTCTCGCATGTCAGCCCAGCCTAGACGGGCTGCTAATGTTACACTTAGCAACCAGTGCTCTCACTGCTGGCAACACTAACACATCAGTGTAAAGGCCATTGCTAATTCCACCGGCAGTTTATTCTATAAGAATCTTTGGTGTTGCTGTGTTAATAACCCTCATTTAACACTGGCAACTTGTTTTTTCCAATTATTCCTCAGCGGAAATTTTACACGATTGATGCACACAGTTGTTAACTAAGAGCAAAAGAAACAGTTGCAATCCCTGGGATCAC